TACATCGTGGTGACCAAAACTGGATGCCGTATTCCAAGTGTGGCCTTACCAAGGCCTTGTAAAGTGGTATTAACACTTCAGGTGATCCTGATTCTATCCCTCTGTTAATGCAGCCTAGCACTGTGTTGGCTTTTTTGGCAGCTGCAGCACACGGCTGGCTTATATTTAAGTGATTGTCCACTAGGACTCTGAGATCCCTCTCACAGTTGCTATTGTTGAGCAAGGCACCCCCTATACTTTACCTGTGCATTTGGCTTTTCTTGCCTAAATGTAGAACCTTGCTTTTTTCACCCTGACACTCTTTCATGAGGCCCTGAAGATATGGTTTTTGCCAGTGGGCCTGGGGACCCCAGGGTGATCCGTAGCCCATCAAGTGTCTGGTCTGATTGTTGTCACCGGGAGATGTGGGGATTTACTGGGGTTTGTACTGGAGTTTTATTTTAGTAAGGCGCCTAGAATCACTGTGAGTGAGTTGGGTGTCCCTACAGGTAGTCCTTGACTTACAACCATTCATTTAGTGACTGTTCAAAGTTACCACAGCACTGAAAAAAGGGACTTGTGAGTGTTTTTCACACTTAACGCCCATGGCAGCATCTCCTTGCTCGCATAATCAAAATTTGGACGCTTGGCAACCGATTCATAATTACGACGGTTGCATATTTATGATAGGGATCACGTGATCTCCTTTTGGGACCGTCTGACAAGCAAAGTCAATGGGGAAGCCAGATTCACTTAACCCGTCATATTTCTCACTTAACAACTGCAGCAATTCCTTTTAACAACTCTGGCCAGAAAAGTGATACGATGGAGCAAAACTCACTTGGACAACTGTCTTGCTTTGCAACAGAAACTTTGGGCTCAGCTCTGGCCGTTAAGTTGAGGACTACCTGTACGAATTTTCTTAAGAAAGAAATTCAAGGTGTCTCCAGGAATTGGGTTCGGCTCAAGGAAGACTTTATGGTAAATGTGTTATGTGTGAATACAGTTATGTAGACTTTCCTTCTTTTGGGGGGAGGGAGTTTAAGGAAAAAGCAATGAGTGAAAGAAGCCATGAGGTCACCAGGTGGTCAGAAATGGAGGACAATATCCCCTGGATTTCCTTCCCAGGGATGAAAGAGGTCATGAGGATGCTCCAGCAGACGTTGTCTCTGGAAATACCCCCATTGTGGCATTCCATCAGTATTTCCCACTCTAGCCAGATTTTATGGGCTTCATTTTCTTCCTAGTAATTAGGTTTAATAAAGCTTAACGTGAGATGGGAGAAGATTAATTAATGCTTGTCTGCCCCTAGAGAGCTTTTTCATCACAGGCAGCGTTTTCAACGCTACGAAGCAATCCACTTAGGATGTACGTTAAGCAATTTTTGCAGCTTTCTTTTAATAAGTCACCATGGAGTCAGCTAAGGAGCCGCACGATTAAGGTAAATAAAATCTCCATAATGTATGCAGTTATAATCTGTGTCTGTGCTCTAATCAAGGAAATGGGGGATCTTTTAAAGTTTCTAGCCCTGGCATTTGCAGAGAGCAAAGCTGTCTTTGCAGAACGATTCTGAGGTTAATTACTCTTCATCACTCAGGAGAAAACCCCTTTTTTTTAAAGAGAGAGAGAGAGAGAGAGATAGAGAGAGAGAGAGAGAGAGAGAGAGAGAGCGTGCGAAGGAGTTCCTTCTGAGGAAATAATGCAGCAGGCGACTAGAAGCTAGTTAAACCTTGGACAAGGGACTTCCTGATTTAAAGAAAAAACATATTGGGTAGGTTGGGAATTAGAATTTTGAGTTGGAGCATTGAGTCCAACTCTGGTTAGTGCAGTGATGTTAATGGTCTAGTGATGTTAATGGTCTAGTGATTAAGGCCAGGAGACAGTGAGTTCTAGTTCCACCTTAGGCATGAAAGCTAACTGGGTGACTTAAGGCTGATCACCAGGAGACGGTGAGTTCTAGTTCCACCTTAGGCATGAAAGCTAACTGGGTGACTTTAGGCAGATCACCAGGAGACAGTGAGTTCTAGTTCCACCTTAGGCATGAAAGCTAACTGGGTGACTTTAGGCCGATCACCAGGACATGGTGAGTTCTAGTTGTGACTTAGGCATGAAAGCCGTCTGGATAAATTTGGGTCAATTACCAGTAGACTGTGAGTTCTAGTCCCATCTTAGGCATTAAAAGCAGCCGGGTGACTTTGGGCCAATCACCAAGAGGTGATGAGTTCTAATCCTGCTTTAGTCATGAAAGCTGAGTGGATGACCTTGGGCCAGTCCCCCCTCTCTCAGTCCAACCCACCTCACAGGGTGGCTGTAGTGGGGGAAATAGAAGGAGGAAGGAGTATTATGCACATTCACTGCCTTCAATTACTGATCATGTAATAAAGATTGGATAAAATCGAGTGACTAAATAAAGAATAGGCTGTCTGCATGTCCCGGACTGTAAGCTCCATATTTTCTAACACTTCTTGGTCTGGCTCCTCTCCTCAGCTTGGCAAAAAGTGCACAGATTCAGCTGTGAGGTGATGTGGAACAATCGATTCACCGTCTGCCAGTGTAAAAGTGCAAATGGCTCTTGTATCTGCAGGGTGTTACATTAATTGTCCTCTTCCTGTGTGAATTCATGGGCTCTTAGGATTGATGCTGAATCATTGCATAAGAGGGAACTAACAGAATAAAGCAGGGGTCTTCAAACGTGGCCCATTTATGACTTGTGGACTTCAACTCCCAGAATTCCTCAGCCAGGCACACTGGCTGAGGAATTCTGGGAGTTGAAGTCCACAAGTCATAAAAGGGCCACGTTTGAAGACCCCTGGAATAAAGTAACAGAATTGGGAGGGACCTTGGAGGTCTTCTAGTCCAACCTCCTGCACAAGCAAGAGATCCTATACCAGAGACGTGCAACTATAGCTCCTTTACGACCAGTGGACTTCAACTCCCAGAATTCCTCAGCCAGCCATGCTGTACCATTTAGACAAATGGCTGTCCAATCTGTTCTTAAAAATCTCCAGTGAGCAACTACAGCTTCTGGAAGTAAGCCGGTCCAACGATTAATTTTTCTCCTTAGTTCTAGATTGATTCTTTCTTTGATTAGTTTCCATCCACTCATCTGAAATGATACAGAGTGCTTTGGAGAATAGCTTGACCCCCTCTTCTTTGTGGCATCCCCAGAGATATTGGAACACTCCTATCATGTCACATTGCTGGTCCTTCTCTTCATTAAACTAGACATACCCAATTCCAGCAACTGTTCTTCGTATGTTTTAGCCTCCAGTCCCCTGATCATCTTTGTTGCTCTTCTCTGTACTCTTTCTAGAGTCTCAATGTCTTTTTTACATTGCGGTGACCAAAACAAGGAAAGAGCAAGGAAAGTGAGAATGTGTTTGTCATCAATATGTAGCTTGTGGGTGGAAAATGAGAACACCAAGTCTTTTGCAGGAGGGAAGGATGTGATGGATTTGAAGTAATGAGCGTAAATTCCACACACCCTCTCATATACCGTAGTAACTAAGTCTCATCTATTTTACATGGCTTATTCCTGGAATAAAATAACTAGCTATGTTTAGCCCTGTTTCACTAGGAGCCTGACAGATAGGTATGAAAAGAGCGGGACGAAGATACTGCACTGAAAAAAAAAACATTTTTGCAGAAAAGCTGAATAGGACGTTGAGAGCTAGGGCATTCCCCAATAAATAGGTGTTTCAAAAGCTTGAACTTCGTCCTCCACACAGCTAGTCCTTTATTTACAAACATTCGTTTAGCGATTGTTTGAAGTTATAACAGCACTGAAAAAAGTAATTGACGACTAGTCCTCACACTTAAAACCATTGCAGGATCATTCAGACACTTGGCAACAGGCATGCATTTATGACAATCGTGGCATTCCAGAGTCACGTGATCTCCATGTGTGACCTTTCCCGCTGTCTTCCGACAATGGGGGAATCTGGATTCGCTTAACGGCCACTTGTTTCAATTATTTGCTGAATAACCATGGCAAACAGTCATAAAATTGGGCATGACTCATTTAACAACTGCTTTAGGAAGAGCCATGGTGGCGCAGTGGTCAGAATGCGGTATTGCAGGCTGACTCTGCTCACTGTCAGCATTTCGATCCTGACCTGCTCAAGGTTGAGTGAGCCTTCTATCCTTCTGAGGTCGGTAAAATGAGGAGCCAGATTGTTGGGGGCAAGAGGCTGACTCTATAAACTGCTTAGAGAGGGCTGTAAAGCATTATGAAGTGGTATATAAGTCTAAGTGCTATTGTTATTGTTTTGCTTAGGGACAGAAATTCTGGTCCCAATCATGATTGTAAGTTGAGGGCTACCTATATAACAGAATAACAAATAACCTTGGAAGGGACCTTGGAGGTCATTTAGTCCAACCCCTGCTCAGTCAGTAAACCCTATACCATTTCAGACAAATGGCTGTCCAGTCTCTTCTTAAAAACTTCCATTGTTGGAGCATTCACAGCTTCTGGACGCAGGTAATTCCACTGATTAATTGTTCTAACTGTCAGGAAGTTTCTCCTTAGTTCTAGGTTTCTTCTCTCCTTGATTAGTTTCCATCCGTTGCTTCTTCTTCTGCCTTCAGATGCTTTGGAGAATAGCTTGACTCTCCTCTTCTTTGTGGCAGCCCCTGAGATATTGGAAGACTGCTATCACGTCACCCCTAGTATATCCAATAATACATTTTAATACTGTTGAGTTTGTGTTCCTAATTATGACTCTGAAGTAGCGATCACGTATGGTTCAGTTTTTGGAGCCACAACTTGCACTTGTCAGAGTTGATAAATTTATTAAAAATATTTATAACCTGTCTGTCAAACTATAATCTCTAAGACATGTTGGTACTCACCGGCTGATTCATGTATAGAGTTTGCTAACTCAGTGGGACCTAATTGCCTCTATGCTAATTTTCCTTGTTCTTTTTTCCCCCTCCTCCTATTTCATTTGAAAATATTGTTTATGTATTCCTTTTCCCTCCTCCCCTCTTTTCCTCTCCTTTTTTCTGAAAATACTTGAAAGCTCACAAACGCAAACCTATGGTGCCTCCAGGTAGGCAGTGCATGTGAATGGGTGTTTGTGTGTCATGTTGTGGTTCGCGTTTTGTTGTTGGTGTTGGTGTCAGTTTGTTTTGGAATGACACTCACTCAGCTTTTCTGTACTGCGTGTAAAAGAAGATCCTCTAAATGGCAAACCTTCTATACAAAATAAGGCAAAAATCACCTCGGGTGGACCATCAAACCAAGGATTGTGTATTCTTTTACATGCATATCAAATTGTGCTGGGCATTGTGACCGCAGAAGTATCTGAAGGGTATGGTTAAAAAAAATCAAGATAGAAACTTCAATCAGGCCATTGTGGAAGCCATCTTGACTTTTTTGACTTCATCCTGTGACCCACAGCTTAAGAAAAGACATTTTCAAGCTACTGTAGTAGAAGACAGCAGGTGAGTACAGTGGTGGAATTCAGTTGGCTTAACCCAGCATATATTTGAATTATCTTGAATTTACACCGCTATTTCTGGTTACTGGCTTTTCCTAAATTAGAATAATACTTGATTTCTGCCATTAGCCTGGCCTGGCATGATGTAAACACAGATATTGGTCCATTAGCCATCAAATTACTTTCACTCTAGAGCAGGGGTCTCCAAACTGGGCAATTTTAAGACTTGTGGACTTCAGCTCCCAGAGTTCCCCAGCCAGCATGAGGAATTCTGGGAGTTGAAGTCTGCAAGTATTAAAGTTGCTGAGTTTGGAGAGCCGTACTCTAGACAGCTGTGCTTCCTACAAACTTCTTCATTGTCTCCCATATTTTCTCAATTGATGGCTTTTCTACCCCACTGCACATATCTCTTTTTCTCCTGCCTCCATCCATAATCTTTAAGCCTTATTTCCTTCCTCTGTGTATTCACTGGGGTTATATCAACATGCTTAACTAGATGTTAATTGTACGTCTGTAAGGGCCCACTTCAATCCCAATCTTAAGAAAGCAGACCTCTTGGAGACGGTTTCCTCCAACAGGAACTTTTATTAAAAGTAGTTGATAGCAGGCATAATAGACAGGATCTGAGGGATTCCTTTACAGGTCAATACTTTAAAGTGTCCCCAAGCAAACCCCATCTCACAGTTCATCCGGATGGTTCAGACCGGCCAATCTCCAGGTGTTAAGTCCATCGTGGGAAAGGGGAGATAACATTGGTCCGGCTCCGGTCATAGCGCGCTGTTCAAGCAGCTCTTTGCACCTCTTTTTGAGACCAGAGAAATAAGCCAGGCTCTGGAGATTGTATTTCTTTCTCCTCTCCTTTTCCTAGCTGACAGGCTAGGGAGAGGAAAGTTCAGAGAGAGATGCAGTGTAGGAAGCAAATTGTTACATTGTAACGGGCAGCGGACACAGAAGCAATAAACAAAACAAAAGATTACATTGTAGTGAATAGAGGAAATGAAAGCAATAACCCCACAGGCATATCCCCCCTCCCCCTTGGGAGTATGGCAGAACCGAGGGGAAAGTGAGATTTGTTTTTAGATCAGAGGAGATAGGTAGAAATGAAATAGAAATGGGTTTTGACACCGTCCTAAGTTTAGTAGCAATAGAAGGGAATATTTGTACCGTGTTTCCTCAAAAATAAGACCCCCCCCAGAAAATAAGCCCTAGCCTGATTTTTGGGTGTGCACCTAATATAAGCCCTACCCCCAAAATAAGTTCTAGTTAAGAGACTGCCTACTCCACCCCACTGTCTGGTTGCTTGCTGTTGCAATGGGGAAGAAAGCTTGCATTGTACTGGTGCTACTGCCACAAGTTGAGGTGAGGCAGGTGGGGAGGGTGGAACTGCCCTACACGCCCCCACATGCTTACCTCAGGGCCCCCACAGCCAGGCCACCCCCCCACCTGCCTCGCCTCAACTCATGGCGGCAGCACCTCAACTCATGGTGCGGTCAACCAGATGGTGGGATGGAGTAGGCAGGCAGCTGCAAACTAAGACATCCACCGAAAATAAGACCGGGTCTTATTTTTCCTTCTAGCCCTGATGATGTTACCTAGTTGGGTAATAAAATGTCTGCAACCAAGCAACCAAGCTCAGAGAACACCAAGGACCCCACCTGTGCTAACCTGTGTTAATTTTTCTGTGGCAGAGCCTGAAGTGTGTGGAGTCAACAGTTTGAGTGGGTTGGCTGTTGAACTGTATTTAGAACACCTAGAAAAGTAGTTAATTAAGTAACTAGGCTAAATGTGTGTGGGAACAAAGTCTTAGCTTATTAAACTATCTTGTACTAGGTGGGTCAGCCTTTCAAGATAGCCCAGACCAGAAGCTCGCCCAGAAGTATTAGCTCTACTATATTGTAAGGTTGCATTAACAGAATTTTGCAACTCTGAGAGTATTTTTCTCTCCCCTCCCCTCACCTTTACAGCCTCAGAAACGAGGGATGGTTCCTTCTGACATGTTTCCATGTCCCCATTGCCTCTGCAGACTCAGCTGCCTCTTATCCACCGTTACCCTAGCTCAGTGTTTCCCAAACTTGACAATTTTAAGGCATGAGGACTTCAACTCCCAGAATTCCACAGCCAGCAACGCTGGCTGTGGAATTCTGGGAGTTGAAGTCCACATGCCTTAAAATTGTCAAGTTTGGGAAACACTGCCCTAGCTGTTGCTTTCCCCCTGTCTCCCAAGGTCATTCCCATATGCCGTTACAGTTGTACTCTGGTTCCATCCAGTCCAGTTGTCTCTCTCTTGGCAACTGGCATGTAATTGTGACAGTTGCAATGTTCTGGGATCATGCGATCCCCTTTTGCGAACTTCCGACAAGCAAAGTTAACCGGAATCCAGATTCGCTGAACAACTGTGTTGCTAACTTAACAACTGCAATGATTCACTTAACAACTGTGGCAAGAAAGGTCGCAAAACTCATTTAACAACCGTCATTTCTTTGCAAGTTTGGGCTCAATTGTGGTCATAAGTCAAGGACTACCTTTAGAGAAGGATATAGTCTTTTTTCAGTTTTGGACAGATGATCTAACATCTCTCTTTGACCTTTGCTGACTCTCCTGCCTCCTTACTCTCCTTTTCCTTTTACACCGGCTTCAGCACAACCAGTACCCAATATCTTTTTGTGGTGTGTGCATGTGTGTACTTGTGGGAGTGTATCTTGTTTCTACCACCCATGTTGTGTTTCCTTTGTAAATGATTGCTTTGAGGCATGACCAGCGATGTTGACTTTGCCTGATTGTTGTGTGTGCTTCCAGTAACAACTCACAGTGTGTCTTTCGCTACCGGGAGTGAGCACCGTCCAATATTTCATTTTTTATACTTGAATCAATGTTTCCAGATCTGGACTGCCAAACTACAGGCTATCATTAGGTGGCAGGAAAGGACCACATCTGTAGTGTCCCATTGTCACCATCTAGTGGTCATTTGAGGTTTTGCAACCCAGAGCTGGTAGAAGTCAGATTGTTTTAATAGTAACTGATGAAAAAAAAATCTCCGTGTTTAGGACCTCAAATAAAGCCTGCAGACCGGTAAAATTTGTTAAAATTTTCATGTTCAGCTGCATGTTCTGTGTTTTATTCTGGTGATTGTATGATTCCTTGAGCCCAGGTTTTTTTTTTTTATTCAAAAGCACAGTATATCTAACAAAATCACACCTTTTTCTGAAGAAAGTTATATGAATTCCCATTAAGCTTATGTCATAATGAAGGCGTTGGTCATTTACGTGTCACACTGCTTTTTTGCAACAATCTTGTATGGTCGGGACTAATTCATTCGAAACAAATTTGGGGAGGGGGGCAATTTGTTCATTGGTTTAACGAGTCATTCAGTCTTGCTGATCAATTTCAAGGTAAGGAATGCATGAATGGTCAGCTAACGATGTTCACATTGTATTCCAAATCTGAATAATGAATCGGTTCCTGGACATGGTGAAAAAAGAAGTTCATGCAAGGAAATTCAGTCTAGTTTTCAGGAGTTTTCAAACAGTGGGCTGTGACCCCCCCCAGGGGGTGGCAAAAGGATTTGAGATAGAGGTCTTGCATAGTATCACACTGTGGCTGAAAATATTGGCGATCATGCCGTCTGAACAGAACGAGAGGGATCTAGTAGGGATCAAGCATTTCACTAGGGCTAGAATGCAGTACTACAAGCTAATTCTGCTGACTGCTGGCTGCCTGCAGTTTGGCTATTTGCTTCTGACCGGCTCAAAATTGACTCAGCCTTCCATCCTTCCGAGGTCGGTAAAATGAGGACCCAGATTGTTGGAGGAGGGAGGCAAGATGCTGACTCTGTAAACCGTTTAGAGAGGGCTGTAAAGCCCTGTAAAGCAGTATATAACTCTTAAGTGCTCTTGCTCTTGCCATATATTGCACTATATACTACCATCAATTTTTCCTGTCGGTCATCCATAGTGGGACACCTCCCTCCTTTCTCATGCTAGTTTTATCTCATCCTGCTTTTGGAGAACATCTAGAAATGGAAAATTCCTAATTCACCTCCTGTTCTTCTGTATTTGTAAGATATGCTAAATACACAAAAACCCAGAGAGGGGAGAACTTTCCACAAGGTGGTTTTTGTGTTTTCTCTCTTCTTCTCCCTCTCTCTCTCCTTCTTCCCCTCCTTCCCTCTCCCTCTCCCCCTCCCTCCCTCCCTCTCCCCTTCTTTTCCTTCCCTCTCTCCCTCTCCCCTCTTGCTCCCGTTCCCTCTCACTCCCTCTCCTTCTCCCTCTTCCTCCCTCTCCCCTTCTTTTCCCTCCCTCTCTCCCTCTCCCCTCTTGCTCCCGTTCCCTCTCCTTCTCCTTCTCCCTCTTCCTCCCTCTCCCCTTCTTTTCCCTCCCTTTTCCTCTCCCCTCTTGCTCCCGTTCCCTCTTGCTCCCTCTTCTTCTCTCTCTCCCTCCCTCTCCCCTTCTTTTCCCTCCCTCTCTCCCTCTCCCTTCTTGCTCCCGCTCCCTCTCGCTCCCTCTCCTTCTCGCTCTCCCTCCCTCCATCTCTCTGCCTGAAACTGATTTTGTCCTTTTTCCAATTTAGGCTCATTCCACCTTTGAATCAGCTCGAGCTCCTGAGAAACCTGAAGAGCAAATCAGGATTAACTTTCAGGTTAGTAACGGCCAAGTCTGACTTCTGGGAAAATAAGCCTAGCACCTGAAACAAGATTATTATGGTTTTATGCAGAAGTTCTTGAAAACAAAGTTGTAAATCCCAGCAAAGAGGAATTGTAGAGAACCACAGAGATGAGTGGTTGGAAAAGAAAAATGGACAAATATATGAATTAAGTCTGGGATGGGAAGATGTTGGAGAGAAACCTCCTCTGATTCTCATTGGTGTAAGACAATGTTTCCCAACCTTCCACCATTTTAAGATGTGTGGACTTCCAACTTCCAGAATGTTCCAGCCAGCAATGCTGAGGTAGCCCTTTGAGATAAGCTAAATCAGGAAACAGACCCCATTAAGAAACACTGCAAGTCTACTTTATGAAAACAGCTTATAATAACAGACTTTTGAAACCCTTGCACAGCAATTGCCCCTTAGAGAGTCAAGGAGTGCAGTTTTAAGTTTCTCTCCCATCCCTCCTACTTTCTCCAAACTTAACTTATGTTTTGCTACCAGCTTATGTATTTCTTTTCAAGGTCATCTCTGAATTCCGGTCATCTCTCATTCTACTTCCCTTGCATAAGCCAGTGGGCTTAAATAGCTCCTGCAAATGTCCATACTCTGCCTAGGGGAATATGATTCAATCATTTAAACACACTTTCTCTTTGCTTGTGCAGACAAAAAGCAAGTTTTGTCAGAGGGCTGCAATTTCCTGTACCTACGGGGATTTAGGTTTAGTCATCTGTCAAAGGTTGCTATCCTTTGCTGTGTAAATGGAATAATTCAAAGGAAGAGTGTGCTTGGGAGGAATTACAAAGCCTATGTTCCAGTGGTGGGATTCAGCCAGTTCGCACCACTTTGGCAGAACCAGTAGCTAATTTTTTGTTGCCCAGGCCCAGAATGGACTTCCGGAAGCGGCATTCACACAGAGAACCAGTTGTTCACATATTTGAATCCCACCACTCCTTCCTTCCTTCCTTCCTTCCTTCCTTCCTTCCTTCCTTCCTTCCTTCCTTCCTTCCTTCCTTCCTTCCTTTCTTCCTTCCTGTGGTTGAATTCAGCCAGTTCGCACCACTTCGGCAGAACCAGTAGCTAATTTTTTGCTGCCCAGGCCCAGAATGGACTTCCGGAAGCGGCATCCACACAGAGAACCAGTTGTTCACATATTTGAATCCTACCACTGCTATGTTCCACAGCTTTGCTAGCTGATTATAAACTTTGTCTCAGCTTAATTGTTTGAAAATATATAATAGCTATGAAAGCAGCAAATGAAGATAAGAACCAAAATGATATGAATTTATTTTATTGAAAAGCAATATTTCAAACTATCTCTTAAATGTTTGTTTTATGCATACACAATTAACGAGGCAATCTTTAATCTTAAAGGACATGAAAACTTAAAAAAAAAAAAATATATGAGGCTGAGAGAAAAGAAAGAGCAAAATCCACCTAACATTTTTCACTTGTCCAGGAGTCACTGCTTCCCTAATAAACTCAGTACTATACTATGAACAATACAAAATAATATTCAGGATTATCTCAATGTTTGGGGAATAATAACACATATTGCTGCATCTTTTGACTAGTAGAAAATGTTGCCTTTTCCAAAACAGACAAAAATCATACATTGTTTGTCATCTGAAATGATATAATATGGCATTTGGAATGATAAAAGTTTTTATATCTTTGGAATGATATAACTTTATGTGTATACACTGAGAACATACGTGCCAGAAACAAATCCCTTGTGGGTCCAATCACACTTGGCCAATAAAGAATTCTGTTCTGTTCTGGTCCGTGCTGTGCTGTGCTGTGCTCTCTGTTCCTTTTCCAATTTCTTAATATAATTCTTTTAGCCACTGCCTCATACCCAATTCAGCCACAATTCCTGATACAAACAGTCAAATTCCAAAACTTTGGTTTATAGTTTAACACTAAATTAACATTTAAAGTGTTTCCCATTAATCTGCTTCTATACTTTAATACACTATCCCCAAACAAGGCAAACTGATCACATGAACATATCGTACGGGTCAATGAGCCCTCATTTTTTTAATACCTCCAGCATAGAAAATCTGATGTCCATCCTTTCAAACACATTCTTTGTATTCAGCTTTATTTATTGAGGAGGGAAGTTTCCTACAGACGCTGACCATCTTCAAAAAAGGGTGCAGTGTGAGGAAACGAGGCAAACGTGGAGGGCTAACAACTAGGCCAGGGGTAGGCAACCTTGGCTCTTTTATGACTCGTGGACTTCAATTCCCAGAATTCCTGAGCCAGCATGGCTCAGCATGGAAACCTCCCCTTTCCCCTCAGCATGGCTGGCTCAGGAATTCTGGGAGTTGAAGTCCACGAGTCATAAAAAGAGCCAAGGTTGCCTATCCCTAAACTAGGCGAAAGGCTAATCTGTGTAGAGCAGGGGTGTCAAACTGCCGGCCCGCGGGCCAGACGCATCACATGGAAGCCGTGCCCACCCCATTGCCGGTAATGGCAAAACTGGCCCGATATGTTGCATGACGTTACGTGACGTCGTGAGTTTGACATGCCTGATGTAGAGTGTCCCCACTGTCTATTTTGTTTGCTAATGTTCGATCCTTAGAGCCTAAAATGGATTACATGAAGCTAGATTTAAGAACAAACCAGTGTGTGTGTGTGCGTGTGTGAGAAACTGCTGTGTCATCATTGCAACAGACAATTGGTTAAAGCATTCTGTCCCAGATAGTGATGTTAGTTTGGGTGGAATCTTTTGAGAGCATTTTTTTAAAAATATGTGCCAGTGTGTTAACACAAAAAAGTAACAATAAAGGTTATCTTGTCTTATCTCATTTGGGTCTAGGGTCTTTTTGGGGGGTATCTTTGCACTGGAATAGAAGAACTCGCTGTGGCCAGCTCTCCATGCCAGCTTGCAGTGGGACAAGTCACCACGGGACAACTCAATACGAGATAACTATACTATTATTATTAATAATGTTACTAATAATATTAAGAGACGAATGGATCTAGACCAGCGGTTCTCAACCTGTGGGTCGAGACCCCATTTGGGGTCAAACGACCATTTCACCGGGGTCACCAAACAATGCAGTCCACCATTTTTCCCCCTTTTCCTTAGCTGTGCTGCTCCCTTTTATTCTATTGGCTTTTGAAAGCCAATAGAATAGACTCTCTTAAATAGAGTCTAATTCTATTGGCTTTCAAAAGCCAATAGGAATTGTCCAGGCTGTCTCTGCCCTGCTGAGCCCGCCAAAAGTCCCATTCTGCAAACGGTGCTGCACCAGTTGAATAGTCCTCGACTTACGACCGGTCGAGTAGTCCTCGACTTACAACTGGTTGGGGGTCGCGGCATTAAAAAGGTTGAGAACCACTGATCTAGACAACAGTTATCTTGCATTACGTTGTCCCATGGAGACGTGCGCTATGGTGAGTTGGCGGTACGTTGGTGGCAGCGAGTTGTCGTAGGCCCTCTTTGCGTGAGCCTATAAGTCTTTCTTCTGTTTTGTTACTCAGTTTTGTTTGGAGTTCCTGATCCATGTTTTTCCTCACTGCAGACATGGCTTCATTGCTAACATTTCTATTTAATTCTTCTAATTTTAATTGACTTGTAGTACTTTTTTTTTAACTTTTTATTTTATGGTAAGCCGCTGGATCAATGAGATGGGCAGCATAAAAATTTAATAAATATAGGAAGTCCTCGCCTTAACAACAGTTTGTTTAGTGACCACTCAAAGTTGCAGTGGTACTAAAAAAATGACTTATGACCAGTTTTCACACTTATGACCATGGCAGCATCCCCGTGGTCACGTGATCAAAATTCAGACGCTTGGCAACAGACTCATATTTATGACTGTTGCCATGTCCCGGGGCCATGTGATCCCCTTTTGCGACCTTCTGACAAGCAAAATCAGATTCACTTAACAAATGTCAGATTCACTTAACAAATGTCAGATTCACTTATCAACCATGTTACTAATTTAACACCTGCAGTGATTCACTTAATAACTGCGGCAAGAAAAGTCGTGAAATGGGGCAAAACTCACTTAACAGTTGTGGATGTAAGTTGAGGACTACCTGAATGAATGAATGAATGAATGAATGAATAACATACTTATGTTTCTCTTTAAGGAAAGAACAGCAGCCAGAATCATCTCCAAGGTCTGTATATTTTACCAAAATTTATCCTTTATGCCTTTCCACCTCACTCTCTTTCTCTTTATGTCTGTGTCCCCGTTCTCTTTGTGTCATGTGTGTGACGCATCCTAGCAACAAGGATTCGAGAGCCATTCAAACAAACATTGTGAATGTTCAACCCGCTCGCATCTCCTGCTAGGAAACCATGTCCACATGCCTTGTATGGACAACCTGTAGCAGTGGGTCTTTGGTCCTCTTTTTCCGCCTTTCCCGTGACAATATGACTTTCAGAGAGTAGTAACGCAGGTGCTGCAGCAGCCTCCAGATTACTGCTGAGATCTGGCACTGCGCTATCAGAAATGGAAAAGTACCAGGAAGATCCGTGCTTTGTAGGAGAGCTAGCATAATGGGTCTCGATTCCCTAAATTAAGGACTTAAACCAGATTTCCCAAGTTGTTGTATTCCAGGTGTGTTGGGCTGAGCCCCATCAGTCTTCAGCTCATAATCATGGTGGCTGAAGAATGATGGGAGTTATAGTCCTGCTCAGTGCTTTTTTCTAAAAAAAAACAAAAAAAGGTGCCGGAACTCACACACGTCATACAACCCGCCTTGCCTACCCTACAAGGTTCCATCCAAAAAAGATGCCGGAACTCTGTTCTGGGCGTTCTATGAGAAAAAAAGCCCTGGTCCTGCTCAGTGGGAGAACACCAGGCTGGGAAAGGCGATTCTGAAGTGACAACAAAATGGTGATCATTTCCCATAATCCTCTCTTCCCTCACCTGTATCTCTTTACCTTTCTTTTGGTCCCAACAACAGTGAAAGAAAGAACGCTCATATACCCACCGACATTTGTCAGACATCCCTGTTTTTGAACAAAGAAAGGCAGAGTTCTCTCTGGCAACATCAGTTCCTTGCAAACTTTGTTCAAAGCACATAGGTCCCCTGACTATCCGCCTTCCACAGTGGGTGAGGGTTTGCGGAGTGCTGAAGATCAGACTGCAGGTTTAGTTCAAGCGAAAGGCCTAAACATCTACGGGATGCAGCTTTGCTGATAGAACTAATCCTAGTTCCAGTCATGCTTTCGTGTGAATCCATGTAGCATGCAGTGGAACCACAGCAGCTCAACCATTTCAAATGTGGGTCGAACAAAATGGCTGCCATTCGGTCTCTAGCAAGGGGACAGTCTGGCCATTCATGGACAGTGGGTCAAATGAAGGCTCAGTGGGTATAGCCCAGGGGTGGGCAACCTTGGCTCTTTTATGACTCGTGGACTTCAACCCCCAGAATTCCTGAGCCAGCCATGCTGAGGGGAAAGGGAGAGGTTTCCAAGCTGACTGGCTCAGGAATTCTGGGAGTTGAAGTCCACGAGTCATAAAAGAGCCAAGGTTGCCTACCACGGGTATAGCCCAATATTTTTCAAACTTGGCAACTTTAAGAAAGTGCGGACTTCAACATAGTTTGCCTCCTGGAGTTGTGGGTGCTCTATTGCTGGAAGTTTTCAAGAAAAGATTGGAGATTTATTGTCTGTGATGGTAGAAGGACACCTGCCTTGAGCATGGGGTTGGACTAGAAGACCTCTAAGCTCTCTTCCAATCCTATGATTTTGTGTTCTATCTCAAGTGACTTTGGAAGATGTTGAGTCAGTTAGTAGGCTGCATTTATATCTCCAAAGATTGTGAGCTAAAGTCAAGACCTTTTCAAGATAAAAATTCTTAATATTCTTAATTTGCCTCTTTCTGCCCTGACTTGAAGAGGCTAGTGAGATGCATATAGGATTCAACTTAGCTACAGTGACAGATCAGGACTATCTAGTTACAGGTGGTCCTTGACTTACAACCATTCAGTTAGTGACCGTTCGAAATCATCACGGCACTGGAAAAAGTGACTTATGACTGTTTTTCACTCTTATAACCCTGGCAGCATCCCCATGGTTTCTGGAATCTCAATTTTACCATGGGGTAGGAAGGCACCATCCTCACTTCTTTCTTGATTGTTCTGAACACTTTGTCTCCTTTCTGGGGAAAACTGGATGAGTCATAGAAAGTGTTTAGACTATCTGTTGACCTGTTCCTGGCTAGTCTTGATGGAGAGATCCAGTTTTGGTCACCACATTACAAAAAAGATGTTGAGACTTTGCAAAAAGTGCAAAGAAAAGCAACTAAGATGGAGACAAAAACACGAAGAACGGTTGCAGGAATTGGGTAGGGTTAGTCTAGAGCAGTGATGGCGAACCTTTTAGAGACAGTGCCCAAAAACTGGCCCCACCCCTGTTCCACACCCTGCCCCGCCCCTGCTCTGCCCCCACCCCACCTGCCCGCAGGGCCACTGATCATCTCCAGGGCCCACTGCAGATCTCCCAGCAGCGCCATGGCAGCCACGCCCTCTGCCTGCGCCCTGCAGCATCAACTGTGCGCAATGGGGCGAGAGGGCAGAGTCTTCTCTATGCTGCCTGGCTGCCATGTCCTTGGCTGCACTGCTCCACGTGGGCCACACTCGGGAACAACTCTTCTCCAGGAGGGCTGCTGGTGAGGAGGGGATCACGGGGGCAAGAAGGGCTGGGGCAACGGCACGTGTGCCCACAGAGAGGGCTCCGAGTGCTGCCTCTGGCACCCATGCCATAGGTTCGCCACCACTGGTCTAGAGAAAAGGACTAGGGATGACATAAAACGTATTCCAGTATTTGAGGGGCTACCACAAAGAAGAGGGGGGGGGTCATCTTATTTTCCAAAGCAGCAAAATGCAAGACAAGAAACGATGGATGGAAACTAATCAAAGAGAGAAGCAACCTGGATTTAAGGAGAAACTTCCTAACAGTGAGGACAATCAACCAGTGGAACTACTTGCCCCCAGAAGTTGTGGGTGCTTCATCTCCGGAGGTTTTTAAGAAAAGACAGGACAGCCACCTGTCTGAGATGGTATAAGATCTCCTGCTTGAGCAGGGGGTTGGATTAGAACAGGGGCCCTCAACCATGGCAACTTTAAGACTTGTGGACTTCAACTCCCAGAATCCCTCAGCCAGCAGTGTTGTTAGATGATCATCTCTGGAGAATCAGGATAGATAATCCACTGCAGGTAGTCCTCGATTTACAACTTCATTTAGTGACTGCTTGAACTTACAATGACACTGAAAAGAGTGACTTACCACCATTTTATACCATTGCAACATCCCTGCGATCAAGATTTGGATGCTTGGCAACTGGCATGTATTTATGATGTTGAGGTGTCCCAAAGTCATGTGATCAGTTTTTGCAACCCCCTGACAAGCAAAAGTCACAGGAAACCACATTCACTTAACAACCAGCTGATTCCTTTGACAACTGCAGTGATTTACCTAACCGCAGCAAAAGAAGGTTGAAAAATCAGCCAGGACTCACCTGATTGCTGCCTCATTTAACATAGGAAATTTTGTTCTTGATTGAGGGTTGTTAGCTGAGGACTGCCTCTTAAAGGGACATTGCCGTGCATGGCTCCATTTCCTGCTGACAAGTGTGGACAGTGTTTTGTTTTCTCCAAACCTTTAGTCATGCGTACACGTATGTGGGCATCTCCTATTCAGCTCTTAGACAAATGTCTGGCTGAAATATACGCAGAATTTTAATAGATGTGGAGAAATTGTTTTGATTCTAGATCATGCCTCTTCAAACTTGGCCCTTTTATGACTTGTGGACTTCAACTCCCAGAATTCCTCAGCCAGGCACGCTGGGAGTTGAAATCCACAAGCCTTAAGGTCGCCAAATTTGGAAACCCCTGTTCTAGACATAAACAAGGTTTTGATCTACTTTCTGGAATCTTCTGTGCAGGAAGTGAACCACGGGTGAAGTGAAGACCAGCTGGTGGTGAAGCTCCAGTCCACAAATGCAGTCCTAAAAAAAAACAAAACACTTTTGACAAAATTGATTTTATTTTGGTTATTGTTTTTTGGGTAGTTGAGCATTTTAATATAGTCATAAGGACTAGCCAAATTAGATAATCTGACTCATTGGTCTCGTGTGTTACAAGATAAGCTGGTATCATAAATTATTTGATGTGGATCTCTAGATTGACGCTTTCTAGAATCTATTAGAACAGATTACCTGAAATAACATGATGGCCTTTAGGCCAAGCCAGATGCTATGTAAGAGATACGGAATATCCTATAGAGCAGGGGTGTCCAACTTAGGCAATTTTAAGACCTGTGGGCTTCAATTCCCAGAATCCTCCTGGTAGCATGGGTGGCTGGGGAATTGTGGGAGTTGAAGTCCATAGATTTTAAAATTGTCAAGATTAGACAATTTTAATAGATGAAGCCATGCTGGCTAAGAATATTTGGAGTGAAATCCAATCAGACGCATCAGACTGGGAAGGGGTCATTTAATAGAAAATTAAATTAGTGCTTCTCTTGACTCCCTCTATATTAAAAACAATCCCTAAGGTGAATGTATTTTAGCTATTAATTTGATAATTACCACTTTTGGGGGAACATCATCTAACTTCCCTGGGATACCTATTTCGAGGGTCCTGGGGGTGTTTTAATCTAACTAATCTTTAGAGGCAAATAATATATATACATATATTTAATTAAAGCATAAATCAATTAACAAAGAATTGCAAACTAGGTTACTACTAACACTGCTAATAAATTTCAATATTGTAATCCCAAATAACAACCTCGTATTAGGTCTCTCAAAATAAATTGTTAAGATATACGGGCTTTTTTGGGGGGGGGAGGTAAAAACTGCTTCTGCATGTTTTCCAATCTAATCTAATCTAATCTAATCTAATCTAATCTAATCTAATCTAATCTAATCTAATCTAATCTAATCATCCAATCCACTATACTATACTATACTATACTGTACTGTACTGTACTGTATTGTACTGTATTGTACTGTACTGTACTGTACTGTAACGCAACGTAACGTAACGTAACGTAACGTAACATAACATAACGTAATATAACATAATATAACATAATATGCTATAATATACTATAATATAGTATATACCAGTGATGGCGAACCTTTTAGAGACTGAGTGCCCAAACTGCAACACAAAACCCACTTATGCATCGTTGGGTGCCAGGTGGGTGTGGCCCATTGGGTGGATGTGGCGCATTGGGTGGGTGTGGCCCATTGGGTGGGCGTGGCTGCAGTGGTTACAGCAGACTGGGTGGGACTAAAAAGTTCAATCAATCAATTCCATCTTTGCAAGATCTTTTTTTTTCCCGTGAGAAGTTGAAATTGACTGATTGAACCTTTTTTTTTGTGTACACGGTGGCGGAGGCCTAAAGCGAAAAGGTTTTATAAAACCCAGCTGAAGGCATAGGACTGGGGTGATGGCGCGTGTGCCTATAGAGAGGGCTCTGAGTGCCGCCTCTGACACCCGTGCCATAGGTTCGCCACCATTGGTATATACTATACTATACTATACTATACTATACTATACTATACTATACTAATCATATAATAATAATATATAATATATACTATACTATACTATAATATAATATAATAACATAATATAATAACATAATATAATATAATATAACATACTATAACATAACATAACATAACATAACACAACACAACACTACACTACACTATACTATACTATACTATACTATACTATACTATACTATACTATACTATACTATACTATACCATACTATACTATACCATACTATAACATACTATAACATAACATAACATAATAATGTAATGTCATGTAATGTAATGTAATGTAATATAATATAATATAATATAATATAATATAATATTTTTTTAAAAAAATAATTTAATTTAATTTAAATCTATTTCATTTTTGGATTGAAGTAATGAACAGAAGTTAAGATCAAGATTAGCTTTACTTGGGGTTTTGTTGAGTTTGGTTGAATATTTGAGGGGCTGTCTGTCATAGAGAAGAAGGGGTCATCCTATTCTCCAAAGCACCTGAAGGCAGAACAAAAAAAAAACCAACAACAATGGATAGAAACTAATCAAGGAGAGAACTAAGGAGGAATTTCTCGAACACTTGCCTCCAAAAGTTGTGGATGCCCCATCACTAAAGGTTTTTAAGAAGAGATTGGACAACCACTTGTCTGATATTATATACTCCTGCTCGAGCAGTGGGTTGGACTAGAAGACCTCCAAGGTCCCCTCCAACTCTGTCTTTCTGTTATTCTGTTAAACAAAGCCCTGCCCCTTGCTTCTACAACGTGTCTGGTTGGGTAGGAGCCATCTGGTCTAACTTTTTTACTCTCCCCTCATTTCCAGTCAAGCTACTTCGTGCAGAAAAACTTTTTGTGGATGCTGCTCAGGAACCTCTAGGTACCACAGCAAGCGCTTTGCACCGAACCGATCCAAAGCTGCACGCTCATTCTCTCTCTCTCTCTCTCTCTCTCTCTTCTCTCTGTGTCTTTCTCTTTTCTTGCTACCTTCTGTTCTGCCCATTCATCTGCTTAATAGAGGTGAGCTGTGCTAAGCGAAAGACGTTGGTAGCATCTTTCTGCGATTGGCTTCGGGGAGCGTAGCTTAGCAAAATGTTTTCCAGGCAGAAGACAAGCAAAACATTTCAGGGTTCAAGGAGAACCGGTATTAATTTGCAAAGCAAAAACTCTGCACTCTAATCTCGGGCGTAATTCAGGTTGTCTTCGACCTGTGACCACAACTGAGCCCAAAATTTCTGTTGTTAAGAGAGGCATTCGTTAAGTGAGTGTTCCCCCCGTTTTATGAATCTTTCTTGCCACCGTTCTTAAGTGAATCACTGCACTTATTAAGTTAGTCACACCGTCGTTAAGTGAATCTGGCTTCCCCCATTGACTTTGCATGCCAGAACGTCACAAAAGGGGATCACATGACCCCGGGACACTGCAACTGTCATAAATATGAGTCGGTTGCCAAGCGTCTGAATTTGGAACATGTGACCATGGGGATGCTGCAGTCGTCATTAAGTGTGAAAAATGGTCATGTCACTTTTTTCAGTGCTGTGGTAACTTTGAATGGTCACTAAATGAACTGTTGTAAGTCGAGAACCACCTGTATGAAAGGGAAAGTTTGTTCTTTTATGCTTTTGTAGTTCCATTATAGCAAGTCCTCAATTTATAACCATTTGTTTAGTGACCATTCAAAGGGACAACAGCACTGAAAAAAGTGACTTGTGACCAGTTCTCACACCTTGAACTGTTGCAGAACGCAGAGGTCACATGACCAAAATTTGGACACTTGGCAATGTCACTTATGACAGTCACAGCATCCTAGGGGGGTCATGCGATCATTATTGGCGCTTTTTTCACCCAGCTTCCAACCAGCAAAATCAGTGGGGGAAGCAGGATTTGCTTAACAACTTTGTGCTTCGCATAACAACTGCAGTGATTCTCTTCAAGAACCCTGGTAAAAGGTTCATAAAATCAGGCATGACTCATTTAACAGCTGCCCTGCTTAGCAACTGAAATTGTGATCCCAATTGTAATGGTAAGCCGCGGACTACCATCTAGACCAGGGGTAGGCAACCTTGGCTCTTTTATGACTTGTGGACTTCAACTCCCAGAATTCCTGAGCCAGCCATGCTGAGGGGAAAGGGAGAGGTTTCCATGCTGAGCCAGGCTGGCTCAGGAATTCTGGGAGTTGACGTCCACAAGTCATAAGAGAGCCAAGGTTGCCTACCCCTGGCCTAGACAATTCTTGTTTTAGAAGCTAATAAATGGAGGGATTTTTCCTCCTATGGATCTTCTAGCACAGAGGTCCCCAACCTTTTGGGCACCAGGGACCGGTTTCATGGAGAGAGGTTTTTCTGCAGGCCAGAGGTTGCATGGTTGTGTGTGCTGCCTGCATCCCATGGATGAGGCTTTGCTTGTTTGTGTGGACCAGTTGCTGGCATGCCGCAGCCCGGTACCGGTCCATGGACCGGGGATTGGGGACCCTGTTCTAGCACAGTGATCCCCAACCTTTGTGGCTTGGCGGCCTGGCTGGGGGGCGAAAGGGGAACCGGGCTGCACAAGTGGCAAGCTGACATGGGTGTGTGTGCGTGTGTGTGTAGCTTCACTCATGCAAGAGAGAAGAAAAGTCTTCGGGGTACGGTTCTGCACTCCTTCAGGCTTCTCTGCACCAAAAGCTTTGGCAAAGGGACTGAAGGCCTGAAGCGGTGCCAGATCTCTCCCCTGCTTCAGACTCACCAAGGCTGCCCGACGCTCCGAAAGTGGATCTTGTGTCCTGAGTGGGCCCTCTCATCCCACTCAGCCACTGCTCTCACGGCTCTGCTTTTGGAGCTGCGGCAGCAGATAGCTTGACGGCCTGGCTGAGGGGGGAGGACAGGGGAACTGGGCCACGCTAGCAGCAGGCCGGCACGCACGCAGCTCCACTCACACAAGAAGAGAAGCCTTTGGGGCATCACTTATGTTTGTGTAGCTGCGCATGCACTCCAGCCTGTTGCTTGTGCGGCCCAGTTTCAAATTGGCTGTGGGCTGGTAGTGGGCCGAAGCCCAGGGTTTGGGAACCCCTGTTCTCCTAAGCAGGAAGAGATACATTAGTCTGAATTTACTTTAAGTGCAAGTCCCCTTTAGTGGGAATTCAGCATGACTTCAGCTGTGGCAAACCAGGGTTTGGACATTGTTGTCCGATCACACAGTGTTGGTTCTCTGGTTGACTCTGAGAGAGTTAAATCAGCTTGCGTCACCTGACATGATTGTTAAGGAAAAAGTGCGCTCCGTAACTTTAATGAGATCTAAAAACTATGGTGACAAAGCTCCTTCATTTCTGTAAAAGTCAAACTCTTAGGAGGCACATCTTGTAGCACTTCAGCGGCTAATTCGTCCCTCTGCGTGGTGGGTTTTTGTTTTTTCAGTTGAGTGTGTAAAGGCTCCTTGAGATAGTCACAAATGCTTGATTGGTTGATGAATGTCCATTTTGGAAGTCCAGCTTGGGTCCTGAAGGCGTCCCAGATTAACTGAAAACGACAGAAGCTCTCTCTCTCTAAAATATACCTACCTACCTACCTTTTTTATTTTCATTTTTTTATGTTATAGCAAGAAGGACCTACGTAACAAAGGTGCTTTTTTTTTAAAAAAAAGGTCAACTGTTCTTTATTTTCCCTTGAAGACGTTTCGCTTCTCATCCAAGAAGCTTCTTCAGTTCTGACTGAAGGGTGGAGGATGGAAGGATTTATATTCCTTGCAATCATCTGGTTGTTAGCACTCTTTCTGAGAGTCGTTGAGGCCACTTGGAGGTTTAGGCTAACGACCAGGTGACTGCAAGGAATATAAATGCTTCCGTCCTCCACCCTTCAGTCAGAACTGAAGAAGCTCCTTGGATAAGAAGCAAAACGTCTTCAAGGAAAAACAGAGTCCAATTGCCTTTTGAAAAAAAGCACCTTTGGCACAACCATGATCTGGATGACTGAGAATCTCCTTACACCAGGGGTCGGCAACCTTGGCTCTTTTATGACTCGTGGACTTCAACTCCCAGAATTCCTGAGCCAGCCATGCTGAGGGGAAAGGGAGAGGTTTCCAAGTTGAGCCATGCTGGCTCAGGAATTCTGGGAGTTGAAGTCCACGAGTCATAAAAGAGCCAAAGTTGCCTACCCCTGCCTTAGACAGTTACAAAGGCAAAATGGTGATCGGGCTATTCTAAATAATAGAAAGGAAGCCAGCATTATCAAAGCTTAAATTTATTCTTGGCATAGCTGGGAGAAGGTGTCCTAGAATCTTTGAATTTGGATTGGGCCAGTCTAAAGAAAAGAAGAAATAGGGGAGATATGATAGCAGTATTCCAGTATCTGAGGGGCTGATACAAGGCAGAAGGGGTCAGATTGTTCACCAGAACATCAGAGGGAAAGACAAGAAACAATGGTTGGAAACTGATCAAAGAGAGAAGCAATCTGGAATTAAGGAGAAACTTCCTGACAGTGAGGACAATTAACCAGTGGAATAGCTTGCCTCCAGAAATTGTGGGTGCTCCATCACTGGAGGTTTTTAAAAAGAGATTGGACAACAATCACCTGTCTGAGATGGTATAGGTCCTCTTGCTTGAGCAGGTGGCTAGACTAGAAGACCTCCAAGGTCCCTTCCAGCTCTATTCTATGTTATTTGTGTGTCCGTGTATGCTTGTCAAGTTTGTGAATCTCCTTCAGCCATCTGCCAGGGATGTGCCAATTCCTCTGTTAAAATCTTGGAATTATATGCATTTTTGCATTAGAGGCGGGAGGAGAGATGTTTTCCGTTTACGCGAATGGCAACAGAATGTAATAAAATGATGTTTGGCTAGCCAAACCACCACAAAGCTGCACTTCAGCCACAGGAACAAAGGAGAAATTCAGAACTATTGAAAGCCGCACTTAATCACGCTGGCTTGTCAGCCAATTTATTAAATTCGAGCGAAAATAAAATGTCTTTGCAAACCTCTAACGTAGTGCAGATCCAGTAGCACCTGCTTCTGTTTGATAATATCTATTCCCCTCTCGCTTTGTCTCTCTTGGCAGTTTATCCCTGCCACATTCTCAAGGGCTACAGGTAGTCCTCGGCTTACAGCCACAACTCGGCCCAAAATTTCCATTGCTAAGCAGGTTAATAACACGGTTGTTAAGTGAATCTGGCTTCCCCCATTGACTTTGCATGTCAGAAGATTGCAAAAGGGGATCACGTGACCCCGGGACGCCACAACCGTCATAAATGGATTTCATTTCCAAAGAGAGTTAGCAGTAGGCATAACCATTTTTCTTATTCTTAAATACAAATGGCATTCTGCAAACATTCCCTGAGATTTTTTTTTTGAAATTTTTTTTTTTTAAATTTTACATTTAAATATTTGAAAAGCAACGTGGCGGCTGAGTTGGTCAGTAATTCAATAACATACAAATATCTTTAGTGCAGATCTCAAACTATTACATCAAGTATTTCCTCTCTTTTCCCCTTAGTATTTACTGTTTCATATTTAAGTTAATACAATTCTTATTATATCGCTTAAATAAAAATAACTTTCTTACGTTTATTAATAATTTTTGTTTATACATATCTTAGTTGTTTTAACATTCAATCTTTTTCGATAATGTCCTGGTTAGTTTTTCCCAATTTTTAGTTTCCCATTAATGTTTAAATTTAATGTTTAATATTTATAATTACCAAGTTTTAAATAACCCCAATTCCCTTTATCACAATACATCACAGGATCTAATGTTCAGGGTACACGTTTTATCTATTTGAGTTCTCACCATCTTTCATCAACCAATTAATAATACAATATCATATTCTTATTTTCTGGCAATTTCCAAATATCTTAAATTTAGTAACCAAAATTTCTGTTATTTCAATATTTAATACTTCCTCTCTTTTTCTCTTAATATCTACTATCCCCTGAAATATTTTCTTCTTATATAAATAAAAATGTAAATGTTCATTTGTTCAAAATCTTAAATCTCCGAAAGTTCTTCACCGATTGCTTTGAAATTTTGACACAATGTTGCATTCGAAGACATGCGTGTTTTTATATACTTATATTATATAGATGTCACACCTGTGACAGGTAAAAAACATGCTTTTTTTGAAAAACAGCGCCATCTGTTGGATATAATCTCTATATCTGCATACACAATGGAACAACAAAAAATGTTGTATACCCAAGCATTGTGAAATTAAACATTACAAACATGCGCTTTCTCTTTTCTTTCTTTTCCATTTCCACGGCAACATGTGGCTGGGTACAGCTAGTTTTTAAATAAGCAGCAGTAAAAAAGCATTTCCTCTATCCCTATGGATGTATTCTTCCACTTTTTTTGACATGGAGGAATGGATGGAAGCTGATCAAAGTGCCATCCAATCTAGAATTAAGGAGAAATTTTCTGAGAACAATTATGGGTAGTCCTTGACTTACAACAATTCATTTAGTGACTGTTCAGAGTTACAACGGCAGTGGGAAAAAAGTGACTTACGACCGGTTTCCATACTTACGTCCACTGCAGCATCCCCAGGGTCACATTATAAAAATTCAGATGCTTGGGGCAACTGGCTCGTATTTATGACGGTGGCAGTGTCCCGGGGTCACGTGATCCCCTTTTGCGACCTTCTGACAAGCAAAGTTAATGGGGAAACCAGATTCATTTCACAACCATGTTACTAACTGAAACAGCTGCAGTGATTCACTTAAACGACTGTGCCAAGAAAGTGTGTAAAATGGGCCAAAACTCACTTAGCAGCCGTTTTGGTGAGCAGTGGAAACTTTGGGATCAGTTGTGGTCACAAGTTGAGGACTCCCTGTATTGCATTATGCAGTTTTTCCTCGCAATCCATAGCTTCCCTTAATTCACAGTGTGAAATAGCCCCATCGAGTTCTTTTATGCTCACCAGGTTTAGGAATCAAAGATGACTTTGTGAGTGAAGCATAAGATAGAAATCATGTCTTGTGGAAAATAGGCCATAGGTATAATAGCAGAAGCCATAAAACAACAACTTATAGGAAAGTAGTACTTTTCAAACATTCTGCCGAGGTTACCCATACAGTACACTAAAAAGGATGCTGCAAATCTTCCTAATGTTGTCACTTAAGTTAGTGTTTCTCAATCCTGGTGGCTTGAAGATATGTGGACTTCAACTCCCAGAATTCCCCAGCCATGGAGAATTCTGGGAGTTGAACGCCAGACAAGGAATAACAGATGGAAACTGATCAAGGAGAGATTCAACCTAGAAATTTTCTGACAATGAGAACAATCAACCAATGGAAGAGTTTGCCTCCAGATGTTGTGGGAGCTTCATCATTGGAAGCTTTCATGAAGAGAGTGGACTGCCACTGGTGATAAATGATATAGGGTTTCCTACTTGAACAGAGGGTTGGACCAGATGACCGACAAGATCCCTTCCAACTCTGCTATTCTATTCTATTCTATTCTATTCTATTCTATTCTATTCTATTCTATTCTATTCTATTCTATTCTATTCTATTCTATTCCTATTCTACAATCTTTCCAACTCTTCTATTCTATTCTATTCTATTCTATTCTATTCTATTCTATTCTATTCTATTCTATTCTATTCTATTCTATTCTATTCTATTTTACAATCTTTCTATTCTATTCTATTCTATTCTATTCTATTCTATTCTATTCTACAATCTTTCTATTCTATTCTATTCTATTCTATTCTATTCTATTCTATTCTATTCTATTCTATTCTATTCTATTCTTCCATTCCATATTCTGTTCTGTTCTGTTCTATTCTATTTTATACACCTTCAAGTTGCCAAGGTTGCCAAACGCTGACTTAAGTTGTCACATCTCCCCTGTAAGTACTTTTATCCACACTAATACACAAATCTAATACACATAAATGTTTATTGGCCCTATGAGAGATATTATTCAAAGCATCTATGCAAAAAAAGCTTTGTATAAATTAAAACTTCTTTTCATAAATGAAACTGATGTCCAGAAAGGCCCCATTTCTTTTGTCTTCTTCTTCATTCACTTGTGTTTTCCAATTTCACTGTCTTTCCAAAGTCTACCTGCATGTTTTAGCTATTTAGCTCAGGTGGGAGGTATCTGTCTGAAGGATGCTTAATGTGACATTAGATACAGCTTGTCCTTGACTTACAACTCTTTGTTTAGTGACCGTTCAAAGTTACAATGGCACTAAAAAAGTGGCATATGACCTTTTTCACATTTATGACTGTTGCAGCATCCCCCTCATCACATGATTAAAATTCAGATGCTTGGCAATTGACTCGTACTTATGACGGTTGCAGTGTCCCAGTGTCATGTAATCACCTTTTGTGACCTTCTGACAAGCAAAGTCAATGGGGAAGCCAGATTCACTTAACAACCGGGTTACTAGTTTAACAACTGCAGTGATTCACTTAACAACTGTTGCAAGAAAGGTCGTAACATAGGGCAAAACTCACTGAACTGTCTCATTTAGCGGCAGAAATTTTCGGCTCAATTGTGAGTCGTAAGGTGAAGACTACCTGTATACTTAGCCTTTCTCCCATCTCAAGTCTTCTGGATGTTTGTGCAACTTCCAGAATTCCCAGTAAAAGGGGAAATTTTAAGAATCCAACTTGGAGTCTGAAAAGCAGGGATTTTAGCATCCTTGGATCCCTGACAATGTGTTCAAATTAACAACGCCAGGAAGTAAAGCTAGGATTTCTGCATGCAAGACTTGTGCCTTGAGAAATGATCTTTCCCTGATTTGAGGGTTTCCTAACCTTGGGAATTTCCAGAACTCCCAGAATTCCACAGTCAGCATGGCTATGGATGAGAATTCTGGGAGTTCAAGTCCACCCTCTAGGATTTTAACTGTAATATCAGTAACCGAGGTCACATGTTACTAGCATGATGTACTTGTTTCAGGGCCCACCTGCATCAGGTAAGAAATAAAAGAGAGGTCTTTAGCAAGCAAGGATGTTCATTGCACGCTAGTCCAATTTAGTGACCTATAGTTTGGCAGTCATTTTTCCTTGATTGATTATCCAAGGCCAGTTACGGCAACCCCAGGAAGACAGCAGAGTTCAAACCAGCTTTGTGAGCAATCATAGGTTTGTAATCAAGCTGTCATCAAGATTTGGCCTTGCTGGGTATTACGGGGGATGAAGGAGAGTGGAGGGTTTGGAAAAAGCTGCCCTAAACAATGTAGATCTCTCTATATTATAGATTTTGCTGTACTCCTTTTTCTATAACTAGGAAGTGAAGTCAATATTGTGTAGCAGGAAAGCAAACCAGTGTTTAGAACTGGTGAAAAGTGTGATTGGCTAGTGTTTGTAAGGATCAAGATGACTTTGTAAAGGTCTTCAATCACATCAGGCATGTTTGAATCAAGTAAGAGGAAAACCTGCAATGGGAGTGTATCTCTGAATGTCCAATGAATGTCTCCATCCGTGGAGAAATGGATATGGTGTGATAAGGAAGCAAGTAAGAAACGGAAATCGCCTTAGTTTTCTCCATGCTATACAATTGAATTAATCACCAGGAGGTATCTCATTAATTAATTAATACCATTAATTGCATTAATCACCAGTTACATCTCATTTGGACCTCTCAGCTTGGTTGTTTCCTCGCAGATGTTTCATTACCCAACTAAGTAACAGCATCAGTGCTAGAAGGGAGTGGGGAGTGGAGGAGAAGGAAAAGTGGAGGAGGAGGAGGAGGAGGAGGAAGACTAACAACAACAATAGTAATAATCATCATCATCATCAACTGAGGTCCTTAGTGCTTTTTGAGCTTGATTGTTTCCTCGCAGATGTTTCATTGTCCAACTAGATAACATCATCAGTGCTACCGTAGTTGGTTAATGAAAAACAACCAAGCTCAGAGACCACCACGGACCTCACAGTCCCCCACCCCTCCTCCTCCCTGCAAACCCTCCTCCCTCCATTTGTCCCGGTGTCTAGTTGTCTAGTTGTTGTGCAATGCCCTATAGGGCCACCCTGAGGAAAGGCGTTGAAACGGTTTATGTCCGGGATGTGAGGTGTCTGCAGATGTCTTCTCAGTCCTTTTCAGCTTGCTCACAGGAGCCAGGTTCTTTAAAGTGGAAGATGGGCAGAAATGCCTCTTGACAGGCATATCTCGGAGAGCTAAAATCAGAAACCAAAGGCCAGGTTTTGACAGTTGGGCCATTCCCCTTGCACGGAGCTGCTCGGGACCCAGTGCTTCGTATCTCAATCTTCATGGCCGTCGTTCCATCTGCACTCTACGGTATTCCATCTGACCAGATCACCTCGTGTTTTCCCATTCATTCATCCCCTTGGTTCTTTCTCTTCTTTCTTTCCTTCCTTCCTTCCTTCCTCAATGGGTGTCCCCTCCATCTCTATTCATTGACCATGGAAACCTTTCCCGAGACGCCTTTTCAAGTCAGCAATGATCCAAAGCCACATCTTGCCATGGCCCTTGCTTCTACTGCTGCTGCTTTGAAAGACTGTTGATTTTTTGAATGGCTAAAAGAGAGCGCCCCCGCCCATAGTGGTTTTGGAAGTGACTCCCCACCCTGCTTGTCTCCCTCCTTTTTTCTTTTGTCTCGTTTTGATTTGTCTCCGTGTCCAGTCAGAAGGTCAGCTTGAAAGAGCGTGTCTTCTCCAGCCCCCGAGGAACAACCACGAAAAGTAAAAGTTCTCCCCAGGGGCCAGGCGTCCGAAGATCCCCCAGTGCAGACCAAAGCATGGAAGATAGCCCAAGTAAAGTCCCCAAGAGCTGGAGTTTTGGAGACCAGACTCGTGCCCGTCAAGCTTTCCGCATCAAGGGAGCTGCGTCCCGTCAGAATTCGGAAGGTGAGGCGGATGATGGTCCATGCAAGACTTGGTCTGCGTATGTCTGGAGATATTTTGTTGGGAGAAAGGAGAAAGCAGCAGATTGCAGGTAGTCCTCAACTTACAACAATAACTGAGCCCAAAATTTCCATTGCTAAGCAAGGTAGTTGTTCAGTGAGCTTTGCCCCAGTTTATGACCTTTGTTGCCACGAATGATCTTAATCAGCACTTATGGTGCCCTGGTGACCCAGTGGTTAGAACAGTGGTGGCGAACCTATGGCACGGGTGCCAGAGGCGGCACTCAGAGCCTATGGACACGCGCACTGTTGCCCCAGTCCTAGGCCTTCAGCTGAGTTTTATAAAACTTTTTCATTTTAGGCCTCCGCCGCCGTATACAAAAAAAAAAGGTTCAATCAGTCAATTTCAACTTCTCGCGGAAAAAAAAGATCTTGCAAAGTTGGAATTGATTGATTGAACTTTTTAGTCCCACCCAGTCTGCCGCTATCACCACAGCCACGCCCACCCAATGGGCCACACCCACCCAATGGGCCACACCCACCCAATGGGCCACACCCACCCGGCACCCGACGATGCATAAATGAGTTTTGGGTTGCAGGCACTCGGTCTCTAAAAGGTTCGCCATCACTGGTTAGAACGTAGTATTGCAGGCTAACTCTGCCTACAGCCTGGAGTTCAATTCCAACCGGCTCAAGGTTGACTCAGCCTTCCATCTTTCCGAGCTTAATAAAGTGAGGACCCAGATTGTGGGGGGGCAAGAGGCTGGTATGGTGAACTGCCCAGAGAGTGCTGTAAAGCACTATGGGGTGGTTTATAAGTCTAAGTGCTGTTGCTATTATGATGGTTGCAGAATCCCGGGATCACGTGATCCTCTTTTGTGAATTTCTGAGGGGCAAAGTCAAAGGGAAAGCCAACTTCACTTACCAATCATGTTACTAACTTAATAACTGCAGTGATTCTCTTAACAACCGTATCAAGAAAGGTCACAAAATGGGGCAAAATTCACTTAACTAATGCCTTATTCAGCAACAGAAATTTTGGGCTCAATTATGGTTGTAAAATGAGGACTACCTACAGCAACTGCAAAATATAGTTTCAAATCAGGTAAGCCCAATTCCTCCACTTTCTGTTGCATCTTCTAACTCTTTATCTTTAACTCGTGTTTCTTCCCCTCCTGTCACACAAACCTAGATATATCTTTTTTCCACTGTTTAACTGGGGCATAAGTTATCAAACCAGGTATTGTCTGAAACGCAAACATCATTCTAGGCAAGACATTCTTTTTCTATTCCTGATTTTGCAGGGAAATGTGATGTGTGCTTTTGTTCACTTAGGATAATGCAATTCTCTTTAGTCCTTTTCTTTTAATATAGCATTTTTGCAGTTATAAATTGTATCTTTTAATTTCCTTTTAATCCTGGAAACCATCCAGAGGCCTTTGGAAAGCCACAAAATGGATCATTAAATGCAGCGAGTAAAAACTAAGTGCTTCTCCAGATGAACTTTTCAGCAGAAAGTGCATAAATATGTTTTTTCCCAACATCATCTTCTTCATTGCCTGCTTTTCATGCTAATTTGTGTTTCTGTTCTTTCTGCCCCAGCCTGAGGCTGTCCCTGTTGAACTTCTGTCTTCTCACCCCTTTCTTCCCTCCTGTAAGTAGAAGCAAGCCTCCCTGGAGAAGACATGGCTGATCCTGACAACAAGAGCTGCAACTGTGAATTTTTGACAGAAGACCTTACACCGGGTCTTAAAGCCAGCATCCGGGCAGTGTGGTAAGCCGTGTGTCCATATTACATAAAACTGTGACCATAGGAAGTGGAGCTCAAAAGTCCACTGCTATTAATGAATAAGGGACTGTGTCAACCTCAAATGAAGGAAAGAAACATGAGGGAGAGACTGTGTGATTTGGTGTACAGGCACTCCTTGACCTATGACCACAATTAGGCCCAAAATTTCTGTTGCTAAACGTGACAGTTGTTAAATGAGTTTTAACCCATTTTACAACCTTGCTTGCAACAGTGGTTAAGAGAATCACTGCAGTTGTTAAATTTGGAACATGATTGTAAAATGAATCTGCATTCCTCATTGATTTTGCTTGTCAGAAGGTCACAAAAGATGATCACATGACCCTGGGACACTGCAACCATCATAAATGCATGCCAGTTGCCAAGCATTTAAATTTTGATCATATGACCATGCAGCAGCCGTAAGTGTGAAAAATGTGATAAGTCACTTTTCAGTGTTGTTGTACCTTTGAATGGTCACTAAACAAATGGTTGTAAATCAAGTACTCTTGGCTGTACTTCTTACCTAGAGAACCTTGCAAGGTTGACATTTAATAGCTTTATCAGGTATTGAAAGCTTTGTTGTTTAGAACAATGTTTTTCTCAACTTGGGCAACCTGAAGACTTGTGGACTTCAACTCCCAGAATTCCCTAGCCAACATAGGAATTCTGGGAGTTGAAGTCCACACATTTTCATGTTGAGAACCACTGGTTTAGAGGCAATAGATTCCCAGTTTCCCATTGTGACACCATCCAAATACAGATGGACAGTTAGAAAGAATAAACCACTGTAGGTTTCTGCTTGTCCCTCTGTTTTTCTGTTTTAGCATCATGCGGTTCCTGGTTTCCAAGCGAAAATTCAAGGAGAGCCTGCGACCATACGACGTGATGGACGTCATTGAACAGTATTCAGCAGGACATCTGGACATGCTTTCCCGGATTAAAAATCTTCAGTCCAGGCAAGTCTTCCCTTTTTCATCTCTGGTGACTTCTGGTATCTCTTATTACTCGTACTTGACTTAGGTAGGTTTTGGTATTCTGGAGCACGATGTTGAGACGTTCAGTATGTCAGGAAGAGTGAAAGTGGTTGTTTGAATGTGGACAGACCATCTCCTCTGGTTTGCATTGGGCTGTTCTTGAAAGTAGTATATCTTTTGGGGTATATGCAGGAAGCGAGAACTAAACTTTAGCAGAAATGGAAATTATATTTGGCATATTGTTTAATTTTTTGCAAAACAAGAAAAAGCAAGAACATCAGCTGGGCAAACTTGACACTATACTCGGAAGTAAAGGTAGTCCTCAACTTACAACTATTCATTTAGTGACTGAAGTTATAAGGCCACTAAAAAAAGTGAGTTATGTCCGTTTTTCACATTTACGACCATTGCAGAATCCCCATGATTATATGGTTAGAAGTCAGACACTTGGCAACTGGCAAGTATTTATGACGGTTGCAGTGTCCCGGGGTCCCGTGATCACCTTTTGCGATCTTCTGACAAGCAAAGTCAATGGGGGAGCCAGATTCACTTAACAATCGTGTTACTCACTTAACAACTGCAGTGACTCTTTAATAAGTGTGGCAAGAAAGGTCATAAAATGGGGCAAAACCCAACTGTCTCACTTAGCAACAGACATTTTGAGCTCAATTCTGGTCGTAAGTCGAGGACTACCTGTAGTACTTTCTGATTCTGGGGGATTTTAAAATTTGCACCTTTGTAGGGACATTTGTAGAAGTCAAGACGAAGACTGTGGTTGGGTGTTCAAAAGCCTCACCTTCTTATTTTACATATTTTGTAGCAGCGGTGCACATAAAAAACACTTCCGGGAGCCACTTACTTCTGAGATCAACAACTACCTGAATTCGATAAGTAAATTAAAATTAAAAAATTACCAATGGGTGGAGCTTTGATCACAGTCACAGCTACCATTTTGATTTTTTGGGATGCTCCCACACCCTGAAGACCCCCACTGTCCCATTATCTGTTGTGTTCAACATCCAAAATTTGTATTCTGTATAACAGAATAAAAAAGTTGGAAGGGACCTTAGAGGTCTTCTAATCCAACCCCTTGCTTAAGCTAAGATCTTGTGCAGAACCCTCAAACTCTTAAGCCTCTGTTGGAGGATCTGAAGCTACCCATAGGGGTCAGAAGGGAATTTGTCTTTTTTTGATATATCCATTCAATTGTGTACGATTCTTGGAGATTGTCCCTGCGGTTTTCTTGGCAAGTGGTTTGCCATAGCCTCCTTCTTAGGGCTGAGAGAATGTTCAACTTTTTAACCTACTTTTAATTTCAACCGCTGATTCTACAACAAAATATAGCATTTCTGTGTTTTCCTCGTCCCCCTTTTACTATTTTTGCAAGCAGGTCTTGTCATTCCTGTGTCTTGTTCTACCCCATATATATGTGTATTGGCTTTCTTCAATCTTGTTTTTTTCCCAAACGGGTTGTGATAGCCCTTCCATTGATTGCAGCAATATAGATTTTTTTTTCGTTTTTAGAGCCATGAATGGCCTCGAATACTTAATCAGTAAGAGCAGCGCAAAGCTGTGGATTTTGTTGTGGCTGCAATGGGATAGTGTCATACATTTTCCAACTTGTCTGTTCATACTAAGCCTGCTCATTGCCAAACAATGAATCCTTTAACAAGAGGTTCCTTTGGATCCTTCCCAAAGAAGGATTATTCCATTGTTGCTGAAAAGTCCACCGCTTTCAACAGCCATCCCAAATGATCAGATTGTTTGGGTACTCACTTTATTATTATTATTATTATTATTATTATTATTATTATTATTATTATTATTATTATTATTATTATTATTATTATTATTATTATCTGAGCAAAGATAATCTCCCCTTTTTGATTTTCTTTTCTCGGCTGTCGCGATTTCAAAAGTTCTCTCCCGCTGCAAAGTTTCCCAAATCAATTCTTTCTCCGACATGTTGCTTCATTGTGTGTTTTGCTGGTGTGTTTGTTTTTCTTATTTATTTTTGCCAGGATAGATATGATTGTGGGTCCCCCGCCCTCTTCAACTCCCCGGCATAAGAAGTATTCAGCCAAAGGATCGCCCCAATACTCGCCTAGGTTAGGATATAGGCAATTTTGTTCTGAGCTTTTGGTATGCTTCCTGTCGAAACGTCTCATGCCACGTTCAAGTGATGCTCTTGATCACCTCTTGCTGATTCATTTCCCTCTGAATGGCTTGCTCTCCTGGATGCGCTTAAGTTTTTTATTTTTAGAGGCACTGAAAATGGGACTTCATATCATGCAGCCTTAAGACATGGTCAGGAGCACTTATGCAATCGACCGATTTTCATTGTGGTGAAATCGTTCAGGATGCTTTATGTTTTTTTTATGCACGGAATTGCATTTAGCTGCTGTAATTTTTATTGCTGGGACGTGCAGCCTTGGCACTGATAAACGCCATTCCTTGAGAGAGAGAGAGAGAGAGAGAGAGAGAGAGAGAGAGAGAGAGAGAGAGAGAGAGAGAGAGAGAACAATGGGCTCCCTTGGCACTGATAAACACCATTTCTTCCAAGAGAGAGAGAGAGAGAGAGAGAGAGAGAGAGAGAGAGAGAGAGAACAATGGGCTCCTTTGGCATTGATAAACACCATTTCTTCCAAGAGAGAGAGAGAGAGAGAGAGAGAGAGAGAGAGAGAGAGAGAGAGAGAGAGAGAGAGAGAGAGAACAATGGGCTCCTTTGGCATTGATAAACACCATTTCTTCCAAGAGAGAGAGAGAGAGAGAGAGAGAGAGAGAGAGAACAATGGGCTCCTTTGGCATTGATAAACACCATTTCTTCCAAGAGAGAGAGAGAGAGAGAGAGAGAGAGAGAGAGAGAGAGAGAGAGAGAGAGAGAGAGAGAGAGAGAGAACAATGGGCTCCCTTGGCACTGATAAACACCATTTCTTCCAAGAGAGAGAGAGAGAGAGAGAGAGAGAGAGAGAGAGAGAGAGAGAACAATGGGCTCCTTTGGCATTGATAAACACCATTTCTTCCAAGAGAGAGAGAGAGAGAGAGAGAGAGAGAGAGAGAGAGAGAGAGAGAGAGAGAGAGAGAGAGAACAATGGGCTCCCGTTACAGGTAGTTCTTGACCCAAAGGTGTTTTTTCAAGAGGCAACTGAACTTCCTTCATTTTCCCTTGAAGACGTGTCACTACCCATCCAGGAAGCTTTCTTTAGTTCTTCAGTTCTGCAGAACTGAAAAAGCTTCTTGGACGAGAGGCGACACGTCTTCAAGGAAAAACGAAGGAAGTCCAGTTGCCTCTGGAAAAAGCACCTTCGGGACAACCACGGCCTGGATGACTGAGAATCACCACAGACAGATAGTCCTCAACTTACAACTATTCATTTAGTGACCGTTCAAAGTTAGAACGGCACTGAAAAAGGTGACTTATCCCTGTTTTTCATAGTGACGACCATTGCAGCATCTCCGTGGTCACATGATCGAAATTCAGTCGCTTGGCAACTGACGGTCGCAGTGTTCCCGGGGTCACGTGATCCCCTTTTGCGACCTTCTGACAAGCAAAATCAATGGGGAAGCTGGATTCACTTAGCAACCGGGTTGCTAACTGAACCACTGCAGGGATCCACTTAACAACTGTGGCCAGAAAGGTCGTAAAATGGGGCAAGACTCACTTAGCAACTGTCTTTGCTTAGCAACAGAAATTTTGGGCCTAAAGCGAGGGGCTACCTGTACAACGATGCTAAAATACATCGGGGAAGAGTTGCAACCCGCCAAGAGTTTGGAAGATTTCATTTCTTTTTTGGTTTGAAACGTTTCACTGCTGCTCTGAGTAGCTTCCTCAAACCAAAAAGGAAAGACATCCAGTTGTCATAATTCATCTTTCACACAACTCTGCCTGGATGACTAGCGAGAAATTTACAGAGATGTTCCTGGAACTTCAGCTGCAAACGTAGGGAGTGTTTCTTACTTGATCTTCTTTTTATGGAAGGGAAGATGTATTATAGGCATAGATCTTCAGCCTATGACCAAGGAGTTCGCTTAACGACCACTGCAAAACAATGTCTGCATGAAAACAACAAAGTCAAAAAGCACCAAGAACCCCATAGTTCTCCTCCTCCTCCTCCTCCTCCTCCTCCTCCTCCTCCTCCTCCTCCTCCTCCTCCCCCTCCTCCTCCTCCTCCTCCTCCTCCTCTTCCTCCTCCTCTCCTAGTGTTACCTAGTTGGGTAATGGAATGTTTGCATGAAAATAACCAAGCTCAGAGAGCATCAAGGACCCCATAGTCATTCTCCTCCCCCTCCTCCTCCTCCCCCTCCTCCCCCTCCCCCTCCTCCTCCTCCCTCCCAGTTCCACACACCCCACTCCCTTCTAGCTCTGATGATGTTACCTAGTTGGGTAATGAAATGTCTGCATGAAAACAACAAACTCAAAGAGCACCAAGAACCCCATAATTCTCCTCCTCCTCCTCCTCCTCCTCCTCCTCCTCCTCCTCCTCCTCCTCCTCCTCCTCCTCCTCCTCCTCCTCCTCCTCCCAAACACCCTCCTTTCTAGCACTGATGGTGTTACCTAGTTAGGTAATGGAATGTTTGCATGAAAATAAGCAAGCTCAGAGAGCATCAAGGACTCCATAGTCATTCTTTCCCCCCTTCCTCTTCCTCCTCCTCCTCCTCCTCCTCCTCCTCCTCCTCCTCCTCCTCCTTTTCCCAAACATCCTCGCTTCTAGCACTGATGATGTTACCTAGTTGGGTCATGAAACGTCTGCATGAAAACAACAAACTCAAAGAGCACCAAGAACCCCATAGTTCTCCTCCTCCTCCTCCCCCTCCTCCTCCTCCTCAATACAGCCGCCAAAAAAACCAACAACAAGCTCAGAGAATACCAAGGACGGCACTATTAATAACTAACTCTCACAAATAGCTTTTCGTTTTGACAAGCTCCTTCAAAGAAGAACAAGATCAACCCTCAATACATAAACATAAGCAGGGATCACCCTATTATGCTGCTGTCTTGTATTTCAGTTTGCCCATCAAGGCAAAATGATGAGCATTTGTGCAACCTTTGACAGATGAAAGGGGTTGGCACCCGTGCCTCGGTTGTGCTCAAGAGGCAGTATTGGAAAAGAATATATCATTTCCCTGCTTGTCATTAAGGGGGAAAAAAAACATTTATCTTTCTTTTTTCCTCTCTTTTTCCCCCCCTCTTGGCTGGGCTGCACTCAAGCCATTTTTGGTTTTTGCTAACTGCTTTTGGCAGAGGTGGGAGACACAGATGTTCCTCTTTGCATGTTTCGGTAAGCATGGAGTGTAATGTAGCATGAGGGATAAAACGCACTGTGTCACAATCCACATTTCTTTCGGATATCATTTCAAAGAAAGAAAAGCATTATTTCAAAGGATGGCTACGTAAAGTGTTCCTCCCCCCTCCCCCTTTGTGCGTTCAGTGGAAACTGATCAGGGTGAAATTAAATATCATTGTTTCATTGACATGAGTGTATCGGAACAAAATCACGTCAGTTAAACAGAATCACAGAGTAACAAGAGTTGGAAGGGTCTTAGAGGTCATCTACTCCAACCCCCTGCTCAGGCAGGAAACCCTATACCAGTGGGGGCGAACCTATAGCACGGGTGCCAGAGGCGGCACTCAGAGCCCTCTCTGTGGGCACGTGCGCCGTTGCCCCAGTCCTAGGCCTTCAGCTGGGTTTTATAAAACCTTTTTGCTTTAGGCCTCTGCCGCCGTGTGCAAAAAAAAAAAAAAAAAGGTTCAATCAATCAGTCAATTTCAACTTCTTGCGGGAAAAAAAAATCTCGCAAAGTTGGAATTGATTGATTGAACTTTTTAGTCCCACCCAGTCTGCCGTTACCATCACAGCCATGCCCACCCAGTGGGCCACACCCACCCAACAGGCCACGCCCACCCAGCACCCGACGATACATAAGTGGGTTTTGGGTTGCAGTTTGGGGCATTCGGTCTCTAAAAGGTTCGCCATCACTGCCCTATACTATTTCACACAAATGGTTGTCCAGTCTCTTAAAAACCTCCCGGGTTAGACCACCCACAACTTCCGGAGGAAAGCCGTGCTGCTAGTTAATCGCTTTTAGGAAATATCTCCTTAATTTTAGGTTGGATCTCTCTTTGATAAGCTTCCATCCATTACCACTTGTCAAAAGAAAAATACAGAAACACAAAATAGCAGAAGAAATGCTATTTTACGGCCCCTTATTTAAAAATATCTCAGGGAACCTAAGGAGAATGCCACGTGTGGATAAGAATAACAAAGACGCTTAAGTCCACAACCAACCGTCTTGGAAATGAAAGCAGAACGACAGACTTGGAAGGGTCCTTAGAGATCTTCTAGTCCAGTGGTTCTCAACCTTTTTAAATGCCGTGACCCCCAACCGGTCGTAAGTCGAGGACTACTCAACCGGTTGTAAGTTGAGGACTACTCAACCGGTTGTAAGTCGAGGACTACTCAACTGGTGCAGCACCGTTTGCAGAATGGGACTTTTGGCGGGCTCAGCAGGGCAGAGACAGCTGGACAATTCCTATTGGCTTTTGAAAGCCAATAGAATTAGACTCTATTCAAGAGAGTCTATTCTATTGGCTTTCAAAAGCCAATAGAATAAAAGGGAGTAGCACAGCTAAGGAAAAGGGGGGGAAAAATGGCGGACTGCATTGTTTGGTGACCCCCGTGAAATGGTCGTTCGACCCCAAATGGGGTCCCGACCCACAGGTTGAGAACCGCTGTATCTAGTCCAACCCCTTACTCAAGCAGGAGATCCTGTAGCATTTCAGACAAATGGCTGTCCAATCTCTTCTTAAAAAGCTGCAGGGATGGAGCCCCCGCAACTTCTGGAGGCAAGTCGTTCCACTGGTTAATTGTTTGAATGAAACATCTGGAAGAAAACAAGCAAGCTCAGAGAGCAACAAGGACCCCCTCAATGGTTCTAATTGTCAGGAAATTTCTCCTAGATTGGCGCTTTCCTGGATTGGCTTTATCCATCCATGGTTAATCTAGGGCATAGTTTGCAGGGAACAATGCCAAGGTAATGTCAATAGTAGAAAAGATGCTTTTTCAGGGGGTAGATTAGCCTTTTCTCTCCCCCCCCCCCACCCCACCTC